ATCAACATCAATATTCAAATGAGCACACTGACCCATATGAAAAAGGCAATGAGAGATACATTGCCGATGTAAGGAATCTCTTGATCGTACAGGAGTTTGTGTAAGGGTTCAACGACACTGCAAGGGATCTATACCACAATCAACATCTTAGTTGTAACAAGAAGGATTCAACATATAGTGGAAATAACAAAATGATATGTTTAGATGTATTCAAGCGAATATCAGCACATGATGCATTATGTTCACTATAGCTAATGATCAATATTCAACAAATATGTTTTTAAAGGTTGTTACAAAGAAAGAAGTCTCATATAGCTCTCTTAGACAGTCTGACGTATCTCTAACTACTGCAGTTGTCAGTTAAAAGAGATGGCCCCTGATTTTGATACACAAGGCACTAATAAGGACAAAGTCTTCCAAGATTGAAATGATTTATTCTTTATTTAAGCCAACAACAGGAAATGATATTGATGGCATAATTAAAAAGCTGCTTCTTTATTCCTATACAAGTTCTAAGAAGATAAAGCCAGATTAAATCATCATTTTCAAAGATGGAGAGAGTCTCAGTTCAATCAGGTTCTGAAGATTGTGTTCAAAAGGATTATTGAGGCTTGCAAGCTTCTTGATGAATAGTGATTATGCATCCAACATACTACCTATGGGAAAATACAAAAGTGTTATGATAGGCACGAGCTTCTGTGGGCTATCATAGTACATCCATCAAATATCCAAAAATGCCCCTACACTTGCTCTGTAATATGTATACACATATATACATAGAAGGGCAAGTGTAACTATACACCAGTATGGGCCCTAGTGAGCTTGTTATGGGTACACACGTGATCTCTAGGGATGCTATGTGGGTCAATAAATGACCTTAGTTTGAGCCCGATCCTTCTATATAGATAGATAGAAGTCAACAAGGCTTGAACTATCAAAAAGATACACATTAAAGGTGTCGATAAGAATATCTATTTTATATATTCATATAAGGTCTTCAAGATCTATGATAAAAGAAATTCATCAATAAAAATATAAAGCATATGGACCCGATCCTCTGTCGACCAATAGATATATTCGACAAGGTCCAATCAATAAAATACAATGCCCCAAACACCCCGATGATGGCTGTGTTGAACGTAGATCTCAATTGGAGTGGTTAACTCCAACCATTTCAAATGCCTTCAAACTTTCAAAAAATTTAAATTCGTACAAAATACAAATATTTTGAAGTTCCTCATTAACACCCCGATGATGACCTTATTGATATAAAATCTCAACCAAAGGGGTTCCCATATATTTTCAAATATCTTCAAACTACCACAAAATACAAGTAAATGTAATGACCCACACACCCCGATGATGATCATGATAAATGTTTATCTCAATCCGAGGGGATCCTACCTTTTTAAATGCTCTTCAATTCCAACAAAATATGAAAATACAAATGACTTCAAATATTTTGATGATGGCCGTGTTGACACAAGATCTCAACTATAAAGGTTTCTAAATATTTCAAATATCTCCTATATTTTCAAATGCCTACCAAAAACCCATAAAAGCTCAAGAATCCAAAATTCAAAAAATCTAAAGATGTTTAAAATTAAAATAACATATCAATGCTTAAAGAAAAATCCATCCATCCTCTACAACAGTTTGTCGGGGTAGATAAATTAAAATTTACTTCAGCTCATATAGAGCTAATAACTAGTCAAAAATAGCACTATAATCCATTCTCAAAAAATTTCCTACTAGAAAGGACGTAGTATATGTCCTCTAGCCGATGATTTTGCCACCAAATGGCACCGCAAGATAAATGATTAGAACCTGGGGCCCTCTGAACCGAGTAGTTTTGTCGCCAAATGGCACAACTAAATTATAGTTATTTCTAGAGCCAATACATTTATTAGTGATATGAAATTCTTGAGATATGAATCAATAGGATATAATCGATAGAGCACAAAGCCATCTTTCTGTTAAGGTGGATTCAAATTTTTCTCTTTAGATAATTATTCACCCAAGGTCTACAAGGTACCCTTAGATGAAGTAACCCATGATTTTCAACAAGGATCCTTCTATCAGGTTAGATTGACTACCTTATTTGTCTAAGTAGACTAGGGATCACGATGGCCTGAGACGACGAAACCATGGGATCTTGATCGGGTCAATCATTCATTTTCCTACCATCTATTTAAGTGCAACATGTTGAAATTCTCAATTTTAAATATCACATTTCCAAATACTAATACTCATGTTGCTATTAAATGTCATATACAATATATCTCTACGTATCTAATTGACGACTAGCCTTAATCGAAAGTTCTCTCTTATTATTAGGAGGGGTAATTACTATAGGGGCTTGCGCCTATAAGAAATATAGACTCAGATCATAAAGTCCTCGCAAAATGAGGGCAAAATCTTTGGGTAGTGTCTAATCTACAAACACATCTTCCTTCCCAAAATTTATCTCGGAACTTAATCCGCTAAAACTCCTCGAAAAGCAGAGGGGGCCGGGAGGCCGGGGCCAAATTTTTCGAGCCCACATATATCTAGTGTGACTCTTCCTGCATTACTTGTAGGTGCTTGTATTTATCACAACTCTTATGTATTTGCTTATGGATAATATATAGTGTGTATGACGAGTTTCCTATAGTTGCTTTTGAGTAAGCTGTTGTATTCTCTGTTGTTTTGCTATCACTATTTATAGGCGGGTCATTATATGCATCACTAGCTTCCTACTGCTACCCACGGGCAAGCTGCAATGAATGTAAATCTTCTAATGTCACTTATAAACATTTTCATTTACTATATTTCTTTTGCATCATGCTTATAGATAACATGTCATGTACATGACGAGTCTCCTATAATGACTTACATGTGTCTACATTTGCTAAAGAAATTCTATATTTGACTGCAAATGACACATAGTGCACATGAAGAATCTTCTACAGCAACTCACATGTACTTGCATTCACTGCATATTACATGCCTTTGCTTACAAGGGATTAATGTATTTGCTGAAAGCTTAATTGATATTGATTTTACGAATGCCCTAGCATTTTTCGCACGCTTCATGTATATGTTTGTAGGGAATACCACTGTTTGGAGTCAAGTATAGTGTGTTCATTTGTATGCTAATGTGGATTGCCAGAGGTGTCACATCCATTGTTGGTTTTTCTATACACATTAATTAGCAAGTTGCTACATTCATTGTGTTTTAACCTTCAGTGTTCATAGGGGATCTATCATACTTGTAGCACATCTATCATCACTGCTTGTTGGTGTTTGTGGGAAGCATTAGTGTTTGCATGCAAGTTGATGCATTCATTTATATGTTAATATAGGATGTCGAGTGAGATGCATTCTTTATTGATTTCTCTATGCATGCTGTTTGGCAAGTTGTTATATTCATTTGTGCATCTTTTGTTGTTTCACATAAGCACTCATAGATTTCTTGTAGTTGCCTGTTATTCTGCTAACATTACTTGTTGGCGAGTTGTTGTATGCACAATAAACTTGCTATTGTTATCTTGTTGATGTTTGCATTCACTATAAGTTCATCACTTTTGTTTGTAGACAACACATCATATTCATGAGGAGTTCACGCTTATTGCATATCGGTTATTATTATTCATAGGTGCTTGCTTTCGTTGCATGTTGAATTGTGTATGGTTGTAGGGAACCTATCACATTCATAGTTTGTCCACTGTCTTCGCTTGTAAGCCAATTAGGATGTTCATTTGTAAGCTGGTTGATTGTTGAGCGTAGGAAAACAGCTACACTCATTATATATTGATCATCGTTGTTTGTTAGCAAGTTTAACATAATCGTTTGTCACTTATATTATGCTTGTTCATTGATGTTCAAGTCAATAGCCTGGTTTATTGTTTAACATTTGTCGTTTCAATGTGATTGTAGATTTATCAATTTAATGTTTAGTTACTTCTTGTCCAATTTGCAAGCTCAATTCGTTGTCATTTTATTTAAGTCAGGTCATCTATTTAGCTCAAATTTTGGCAACATCCTGGTATCTCCCCTTCCCTCTGTTTGGGAAAACCCTGGAGTCTGCGCCTTCCCACCACGCTACGAAGAGTGTATATGGTATGTGTCGAGTGACAACGCGACCATATTTTCTTCAATCTCGCCATGCTACGAAAAGTGTGTGTGGGTATTTAAGGCACCAGTTTGAAAACACAATTTTTCCTCACAGGAACTGAAGCATATACTCTGGTACTTCATGTTGTCCTTGACACGCTACGAAGAGTATGTATGAGGCCTACCCTGTGATGCCCCAAGATCTAACTTGGAAAGAATGTCAATCAATTTCTCAAACAATTTACCAGAGTTATCTAAAACCTTCAATTAAACAGTCTATCAAACATCTTCCTCTCACCATGCTATGAAGAGCGTGTATGAGTGGTCCTCCAGCGTGCCGTAAGCCGATAATAAGATTCAAGGGTTTTTAAGCTTGAAGACATTTATACCTTCGTAAGAGTAGCAACAATGACAATATCAAGAGACGACGAAGACGATGTCAAAAACACAAAGATCTCTCTCTCCCTTTTTTAATTTTCTCTCTAGTTTTTAATCTTTTTTTCTTTTACTTTTTTGTTTTCTTCTTCTTCCTTTTTAAAGTAATAATAATAATAATAATAATAATAATTAATTACAATAATTAATAATAATAGTAGAGGGAAAATGTAATGGATGCTGTTGAGGAGTTGGATGCAATAGTAGAACTTGTTTTTAGAGTGAAATTTAAGTGAGTGAAGTTGTTGGGCTGCTTGGGTTTACTGTTAAAGTGATATGTGAGTAGGGCTACAGGTGTGTGCTCATAAATTTCTGTGGTTGGAGGGAATAGCTAAGTAGTTGGATGAAGAGAGGGTGGAGGTTCAATGAAGTTTTGCTGGAAAAAGGTTCGGCTATGTGAGGGGAGTCGGGTGAGGCGACGGCTGAAGTCAGAGCTGCCATGAGGTCAGGATGCGAATTTGGGAGCTTTGAATGGCTGGGAGGTCGGAGTCAAAATCCTTGAACGAGATCAGAAGAGGCGGGATTGGATTCGGCTGGAGAAGGTTCAATCACGAGTTAGCAGGAGGAAATTTGGTCTGATGGCCTAAACGGTGCATGAGGAAGATAGGGCTGTGTGAATCAAAGTTCCTGCGACTGCAGCTGAGGGGATTGCAGGTTGGGATGCTGGACTGTTGGTTGTCGGCGTCGGCTAGCTGGAGGCGGATGGGTCGGTACAGGGACGACGGAAGCTTTGCATGAAACAAGGAGGGAAGTCGGGATTTTGAAGGTCGTTCGACCTACCGTAACCGCAGATTGGCAAAGAGACGGTAGTTTGGTCTCAGGGCGTGGGTTTGATCGAGATTTGGCTTGCGAATAAGAGACTTTCATGCGTCCAAGAACAAAAAAAAGGCAAAGCTTCGTTCGTTGTCGTTTTAACAATGACCGCAGGCAAGCAATCGAGGAGTGATTTGGGCCGAGATCGTGGTGAGCAGCGTCAACGCCGATTTGCAAGTATTCAATGTACTTTTGTATTTTTTTAATAAAAATAAAAATAATACTATATTATTATTATTATTATTACTTAAAAGGGATTTTTACATACTATTGTAAATACAAAATACATATTCAACATCTAAACATTTGTATTTACTAATATACCACCTAAAACCTCTTTTTTTAACTATTCTAACACTCCGTTGTTCCTCACTCACTGCCGCTTCTTCCCTCGTCAGCGATTTCCATGACGGCAAAGGCTCTAGCGGTGGAATTGCCCAACCAAATTCTCAGCCTGCCGCTTCTTTGTCAGCGATTGCCATGACGACGATGGCTCCAGCTATGCGTCAGTTCTTGATGTCGCTGAAGCCATTGGCTTTGGAGATAGGAGCTTTGCGGCAATTCTTGATGTCTCCTGTAACAACTTTATGGTCAGTCTGCCGGAGATTTCAGCGATCAAGGCCAATGGCTCCAACGGTGGTTCATTTAATGCTTTGCATTATCTCCTGTATAGTTCCATTTCTTCTTAATTTGCAATCCTTATTTCTACTTTTAATTATGTGGATAATTACTTGCAAGGTTCTGTGCCTTACAATGGTGCTAGAAGGAGGCACGAACCCATGTGTTCGTAGAGTGAGCAGGAGCATGTGCTCCATTGCCCCTGAAGGAGCCAATGAACCCATCTCCGGGGAGTTTTGGAAAAATGGGAGTCATGTGGTCGTGGAGTGAGCGGGAGCAAGCAATCAATGTGCATGTGTGATCCAACGAACCCATCTCGGGCATAAAGATCCCAGCTTCAACATATTCGGGAAGCTACAATAAGCTGTAGATTGAAACCTGTAGCATAAACGTTAGAGCAAAGCAGAGAATAGCTGAGAGAAGAGTTTTGGAATACTATATGATTTTCTCATTAGACTTCTTGCTACAACTGCAAAATGGTGTGGTGGAGGCACTTAGTGCTGAAGCAGGCTACGAGACAGAGCAGTAATAGCAGCTTTTCAGTTCGGCTTATCAGGAGCCATACATGGCTCATAATGAGATTGGACATCTCCTTGAACCGCAACCGGCGATGGAGCTTCGGCGATGAAGGTGATAGGTCAATCTCGATGTCCTCCACCAGCATCTCCCCGGACCGATAATAATTTTCGGTAACTTCTCGTCGTCATCTGGCTGGGAACGAAAGGAAGACGATGCGAGGCGAATTTCTGACGGCGTTTAGACGGAGTAGTAGAATTGAAGAAAATGAGAGTTTGAGGTGGTAAATGAGTAAATATAATAGTTTGAGTGTTGAATATGTATTTTGAATAGTTTCAAGTGTTATGTATGTAAAAATCCCTTGAAAATGATAACAACGAAACAATCATTTGATGCGCCTTAATTCGTGCATTTTCTTGAAATTCAGGTGTTGTCTCCTCAGGATTCGCATTGATTTTCATGCGTGAATTTCATGGGGCAAATTTACAATTAATTTTGGGTATTGATGACGTTCCGAACCCAATGACGGAGCTCGTTTTGTGATCAGTCGTCATTTGGATAACATTGCTCATCAATTTTGAGTGTCGGCCACCAATTTTGACCGTTTTCACCCGATTTGACTGCGATGTGCTCCCACTCAAGCGAATTTGACAGTCTGATCACAACGACACCATCCGTTTGATAATCAGAAGTCCTTTTACCCATCAAGTGATGTGCTGCATCGACACTCGCATCACTTATTTAGCCGATTTTGCCCCTTTTTAGGGGTCAACAAAGTTTAACTTCGAATGTTTTATGTAACTTTTTACTTTTACATATGATAAAAACTTACATGGAGTGCTAAAGTCATATAAGAATGTTTAAAATTTAAATGATATTTTTTGTTAAATCATAATCATATATACTTAATACTCATTTAAAAGTTATAATATATTAAATTTATAAAAGTTTAATATTATATTTAATACTATATTTATCAAATTAATTTATTTAATAACTTTTAAAAAAATTAAACTATCTAGTTTTAAAAAATTGGTACTACTTCACTGGTTAAACAAGCAATTCTTCTCAATTCAATTAGCTTTGAAGTAAAGCCAATTTTCTAATGGATCAAACTGACCATCTGATGGGTACAAGCTTAAACCAGCTAGTCCGATCCAGTTTTTAAAACTGCAGTTAAAAGCTTAGACATCAATTTTTACATTTTTTTTTTTTTCATAACCATCTTCAAGTCTTTAATGAGTTCACACACTAATATGTTATTTTCACTAAGCAAACAATCTGTAAAGAATGTGACTTGAGCAGAGAAAAACTCACAAGTGATTCCATGAGGTCCACAGATGAAGTTTTAACAAAATAAAAAACAAGCACTGAAACCCAAAAGTAGAAACTTCAGAAATTAGATTTTATTGTAACAATCTCATAGGACAAGGAGCTCTGCAAAAGATGTGGTGGTTATTATATATGATCATTTGAAAGAAGAGGATTATATAGACTAGCCTACCTAGAAATATCAATTAAATGGTAAATATTTTTGAACAGGTATCAACAACAAGATCCTTTTTTTTTAATATCCACAAGTAATCAAATAAGCCTTAAGTGAAGAAAAATTCAATCTTGCATCCACAGTGTTCTATATAAATCTCCATTCATATAAAGTGTTTAATTGATCTGGAATTTTACAAGAAAAGGGCTTCATTTCCTAGTATAGGCCATACTTTGGCCGGAGGAACCACTGGCCTTGAGAACTCCATTGTGATTACTAGTATCAACAAGATCTTCAAACAATCTGTAGGAAGGTACAAAAGGCTTGTGAGAAACTGCAGGCCTGAAATTTGTCTTTGCTGGAGTTTCCCCTGTGGCAGCATTCATTCCAAGTGAATTATACTGCATCGTATAAGTAGCTTGTGTGAAGGGATTAGGGTTTGTGCTCGGAGCATCCTCCCATGGAGGGGGTGGGTAACTAGCATACTGTGGCTGTTGTTGAGGCCCTGATTGAAGCAGATATTGAGATTGTGAATGAGATTGTGATTGCTGTTCAGGCCTGAAGTGAAATTGAGGCTGCAGCTGAGCTGGAGAATGTTGAGATTGAGGTGAAGATGGTGGCTGTGTTTGAGCCCAAGGAGCAATTGAAAAATCATAAGGCATGTAACCTTGGTTTGCAGGGAAAGTTTGGGGACTCTGGGGGTTCCCCAGACCACTTGTGGTAACAGAATCTGTTGATCCATTTTGCTGAAAAGAAGTAGGTGGAGTAGATGGAGTAATAGGAGTATGAGATGGTGAAGACATTGTGATGCTTAAGAGATCAATAATGTTTTGTTCTTTTGCAGTGGTTTTGACAGGTGCTGGAGGATTGGGCAAGGCTAATGGATGGACTCCATTGGAGCATGAAACTTCATTGGAACTCTGTTTAATTACAGTCGCCACATTGGTATCGTTTGTGGAAATGGCTACACTACTTTCAGTAGAAGTTGGGTTAACTTTTGAATTCCTGAAAAGAGACAAAATAAAGGGATTAAAACGTAGGAAGTTCTGAAATTAATAGTGACTAATGTGAGATTCGAGACCTGCGAGCTAACTGAGAAAATTCATCGTCCTCTTCTTCATCCTCTTCAAAGCTGTTAGCTGCAATGGTTGGCAGTGCAGCAGGAACAGGTGGCACGGGAACAGATTCAGATGCTTCTTCTGGAAATGGAGAACCAGAAGCAATTGCATCATGTTTTGCAAGCGAGCTTTGCAAATTATCATTTAATGCAAGCCCTTGTCCTAGGAGCTCCTCATCACTATAAGGTTTATAGTAGAAACCAAGTTATAGCGACAACGGAAGTAATACATTTCACAAAATATTCAAACTAATTGAGATGGATTGAAGAAAGGAACAACGCAAACAAGTTTCAGAGAGTAAAGGGGTTTTGCACTCAATAAAATAAGAACCCACAATTATTCACAGAACAGATGAAACTGGAAAAGAAAAGGGGAAAATGTTATTTCAATAGGGTTTTGTATTACAAGAAAACTCGCCAGATTTAAGAGTGCATTAATAATACTATCCTATCTGAATTCTGAAAGACGCCTCAAGCTTTAGTATCATTTAACAGCAGAACTTCACTATTACAGGTATCTTTCTAAAACTTCTAGCTTTTGAAACGTACCACAATGAGTTGTGCTTGTAAAAGATTCTCTAGACATCCGATTAACTTTAGAGGTTAACAACCATGAAAAAAATGCTAATCTTGGCCCTTATCTGCCATTCCAGATAGCAACAGTGTTGTGGTGTTAGACATGACAGGCGAAGGCTGCAGTACATGTAACGAGGGAAGGAGAACTAAAGGTTTTCCTTGGTGAAACGATGATTATTAACTCGCAGATAAGTGAGATAATTTAAGAAAAAAGAAAAAATTGTTGAGTGATACACTAGTAATAGTACAGTTAAATGTTCCATCAATAGTTAAGTGTGCCATCAGTAATATGGCCTATTTCATGCGGTATACTAATAAAAAGCCCACAATCAAGTGACAAATGCAACTTTCAAGCTTTGAACGGAAATGAAAGATAGCAATATGACTACCGCAGAACTTACCCAGTGGAGTCAATCAATTGCAAGATCTTCTTCTGGTTGGAGCGACACTGGTCAACGAGATCTTTGATAACTTCATCCTTAACAGCCTAAAATAAAGAAAATATGATGGACTTGGATTACAACTTTTATTTCAATGGCAAAACAAAATCAAACACATGACATTTCAGGATTGAAACATTAAGAACATTATGATAAAAAGAGTACAAATGAGGCTTGGGATCTTAAGCAATAATTTTTTGAACCACAAAAGGTACAAATACCAAAAAAGCGCTATGCAATATAAAGTTAGTGCATAAATTTTGACAAAGAAACACACCTCACGATCATGTGGATTCACAGCTTTTAACATGTCATTTAACAGCTCCATGACACTCCTCATTCTATCCAAGTCTGACAAACTGAACATAGCAAAAAAAAAGCTTTCATCTCAGATAGCATGAGAATAATAGCCATAAAAGCATCATTTTAACCAAAATCTAAGAAAATCTCAGTTAAATGAAAAGCATTAAAAACACAGTTCAATTAACAGACGAAATAGAAAGCAATGAAAATCGACACCTCAAATTAGCATTTTCTGATGACATTGCTTGATCAAGTCTCATTGGTGAATCACTAGGCATACCATGCCCTAAATGAGGAGTCCTAGTGGTGGCCGCTTGATGAGTAGGTGGAGTAAATATCAAAGTAGCATCGCTAGGGCGCTTTGGAAAGTCAACTCCAGATCTCTGCAAAATAAATGCTTCATGAGTTACATAAATGGTTTTCCCACGACAGAATGAAACTCAGTTAAAACAAGCTTACAGCGATTTGAATGTGTATGACATTTAAAAAAAAATTGAGTACAAGCACTGAGATCAACAGTATCATCATCCTCATCCCAAATTATTATTACATCTTCTATCCTTCGTTGTGTGCACCTAAAATACCTAAATCTATTTTCACTATCCAAAATTCAATAAATGCCGCTCTCATAATTTCTCTAATATAATTATTTATCAATTTATTCTTTTAGTTTTGCCACACATCCAAATTACCATTTTCATTTACGACACCACAACTTGTTTGTCAATAATTTTTGTACTGCTAAATACTCAAATCCATATAAAATAGGTTTCATAACTACTGTTTTATAAATGTTACCTACAAGTCTACATAGTACTATACTATATTATAACATAGTCACCCCAAAGCATTTGTTATGTTAATTAGACTTCTTTATCTTCTAAATATGTTCTCTATCACTTTATCATTCTGATTATTTCAATAATGATCTCGCTGATTGAAACTATTTCATTTGTTAAACCATAGATAAATATAGCTTAATTTAAATATTCTTTCTATGCATTTTCATAATAATACAAAAAGTTCTTGTTATTGACATTTTTTAATGCATCCAAGAAAGTCAAATTATTTAGATCTCTTACCAATTGAATTAGTTATTTTAAATAACTTCTTTTTTTATACATATTAATTATATAAATCATGTCAAATTTTAACTATTAACTTTTCAACCATTTCTTGTAGCTTGGGATCATAGCCATGGAAAGTAAAATCCTTAATGATTGACAACAACATCCAAAACCACTTATATTAAAATCCTTACTACAACAACATCCAAAACCACTTATATTAAAATCCTTACTACCTCTATAATAATAAATTTAATAGTGGGGCACTAAATTTCATCAACAGCTGATAACACAAACCCTAACTTCCTAAGCCATGGCTAGTTCACTGCAATGTCCACCACCAGCAACTTAGAGATTTATCCAACCCTTGTTCTTCACCTCAAATATTGGTGGTGTTTGATCCATTATCTTTAGCCATAACTAAATCAGGAGCAACAACGATCGCTAGTGATATTTCTTTAATGGCCAACGACAGCTGCAAGGACAATCGCTAACAACTATGATGACAGCTGCTGCAATAGGGGCATTACACTTGGGACACTAACTCTTTGAGGGCCCCCTAAACCTATCAAGGTAGTGAGTTGAGGTTGGTCTATATATAATAGTTATTACGAACAAGAGCTTGTCACTCTCCTTCATACACTTTTTATTGCACACCTATTTCAATCAAATGCAATATATATATATCACAAATTAAATGCATGATAGATGGAATTTTTTGGTCTCATTTGGTTAGATGAAATCTAAAATATTTGAGAATTTTGAAAGGCTATATTTCCAAATGATGAAATAGAGAATCAAACTCTTTTGTTCAATTGAAAGTGCAGGATAATATACTTAAAATCATCACTAGGACGGATACACTTCAAAACCATGATTCTTAGAATTCTTTGATTCTTCGTGATGGAGCTTGCCTGTGTGCTGCTTGCAGCCGCCAAAGACCATCTAAATGACCAACAAACTTCACTACAACCACTAGTGGGAGCACGTTGGTGCTAAGTCAACCTCATTGTGATTGATTTTCACTTATTCTTATTTGAGATTGGCATCCATTTGCAGAATTTAGTTTTTCAAATTCAAATTAATGTCCTCTTGCACCCCACACTCAGATTGCAGAATCTACAAAATTTATTATTTCATAAAAAGTACTTTTAAAAGAAATCAAATGAGACCTTAGATTCCAATATAGATTTTGGGTCTTCGCAATTCACATATAGCATGTGTCATACAAGTATGCAAGCACAAAACAGTAGCAAATAGCACGAGTAATGGACCATATCCTGGAGATAAAGAAGTAGCATATACTTGAAATTCAGCGTTAAAAGAACAATTAGATATGGACACGTCAACAAAATAAACACTACTGAAATTACAATGGTGATTAAAAGACAATTAGATATCAGCATGCCAACAAAATAAAAGTATCACAGTAAAACGGATGATTGCTCGTGAAGATGACTTGAGAAGTCCAAGAACAGTAGTTAAACAGACAGGTTTTAAAAATCAGCATTTTCAGTTCCAAGTTGTTAATGGAGTTCATTTCCAATAAATTTTCTTCAATTTCCTCCTTGCTAGCTCCCACTATCAAACTAAAACGGTGCACAGAAGACAGCAGACAATCGCACATGTATTAGTAGGTCTGAGCGCAGAACAAGTCAAAAATACAATCCTTTTACCAGTGATCCGATTGGACAGAAAAATTATTGTAATAAGGATAAATGATAATGATGAGTCAGATCGAGCCAGTTTTAGCTGAAAGCTAAACGTTGCCAAATGGTAGAGGAAAGCACAAGCTAGGAACACAAATAGTACCTTTAGATCAGTATATGCCCAGAAGTATTGTGGATACTTCCCTCCAGAACCACCAAAAGCCTCTTGCCAAGCATCTAGCAGCACTAAAATTTTCTCTCTCACTTCCATATCAGTCTACAGTGGAGAAATATTTAAACATATATTAATAGTTAAAAAAAAAAAGAAATGTACAATACCTAATGAAGAAAATTATCAGAAACCGTTCCTACCAATCTATAAGATTATTTAAAAGTACCTTCTTGTGTATATGTACATATTTGTTAATCCATGTGTGTGAGAATGCGTGAGAAATAAATAAAAGCATGGATGCTCGGGTACTCCTGTTTGTCACATATAATGGTGTGCCCAATGCCCTAAGGGTTAACCGACGAGGAAATTAGGAGGGGTGCCTCTCTAGAAAGATAATGGCTTTATCTTGGTAAACAAGACCATGATCAACATAACAACCCTGATTTCACAAAAAATTAAGAAGAAACAAAGCCAAAAAAAAAAAGCCATACACTTCCATATATATATACACGAAGCAAGACCAAACAAATCTGCACATATCTGCAGGTTCGAAAGTTTGTGTGCAAATACAGACAATTCACAATATTCAGTTACTAACATATGTGCCATTTAGAAAAACAAACTTACAAACCTATTTTTAAGTTATCTAAAAAAAAAGATAATCTCAAAAACAGATAAAATTGGAAAAAACTCAGGCTGAAATTTAATTTCAGCAAAGTCCAAATTGTAATTGAGATGAACGATGTGGAAAACTAGGATTAAAGCTTTTTAATTGATAATAATATGAAAGAAAAAGAACAAGATACAATAAATCTTCAATTGGAGAGAAAGATGTCTCTCCCAAATCCCTAGCCACCGGCAAGAGCCCAAACCTCCTAAAAAATTCTAATTTCGGTAAAAACATCTACGACCCTAACCCTAAGAAAATAGCATACTTAAAGCATACAAAAATAATGCAAATCTCAAAACATCTCCTCTTTTGAGTTTTTCCCTCATAACTCCCCTTAGTTTCTTGTCTAATTGCTGTTGGACCCCACCCCAAAAGGGGGATGGGAGTTTGAGGCGGATTTTGTTCACCTCCTATACCAGGACCCGTCTAACAATACCCCCTCCCAAAGGCTCACCTTATCTGTAAGGTGAAAAGCCGACTCCCTCAATTTCTTTATCATCACAAACGGTGAGAACCTGAATAGTTTGCTCCTTAGATTTGTGCCTCGGCGTATATGCCTCAGTGTATACTTCTCGTGACATTTGAAACATAGCCCTTTCGCCCTCTTCTCCTATAACTACATTTATGTGAGCTTCTTGAAGTTTTTCCCATATCTCCCTCCTATAGTCTTCTCCTTTGAGGTCTCCCTAAGAGTACCCAATGTTGACTCCTTGGATGCCAAAAAGATGATGATCATTCTATACGAACCTCCTGAGCTGCTACCTCCAATCCATCCCTCCAGGTGCCTCGGATCCTCCACTAACTGGGCTAGCTTCATAGCCTCTCTCAAATCACGAGGTCTCATTACTCTAACTGTCACCCAAATTTTTGGTTTGAGCCATTTCATAAAGTTCTCATCCAGTACAATCTCTAGAAGTCATTTTAGTCTGTTGGTCAGGTGGTCAAACTTCTCACGATAATCCACCATGGTCCCCTCTTGCAATAGGAAAAATAACTGCTCATAGAAGTCCTCTCCCCTTCTGGTTTAAAAACATTCCAATAAGTAATCCTTAAACTCCCTACAGGTTCGTATGTGTCGCCTCGTATCCCTCCACTAGTATCATTTCAATGCTTTCCCCTCTAAGCACATCCCGACTACCATCAATCTTTCCTCCTCTATCAACCTATTGACAGTAAATTACCTTTCCACCTTATAAATCCACCCATGGGCATCATCTCCCTAAAAAATAGGCATCTTCAGCTTCCTCACCCTCGAATCTATTCCATTCCCCCTGTTTCCTCCATAATTTCCCATTCCCAAAGGTGGTGGCTCCCCCCAAGTGTCCCAATCATCCTTTCTATGCTCTTACCCAAACCTTTCATCAAATTCCCATATTCTCTTTCCAAAATTCAGCGCCCCTTTAGATCATAATCATCCCCTCTCCTTTCAAATTCAACCCAGCCCCTTCAAATTCTACACCCATTTGATCATAATTTTCTCCTCTCCTTCCAAGTGCAACATCTCTTCAGTAATAATTAGCCCCTCCCCTTTCAATTTTACCCATCTCCTCTCAAATTCAGCACTCCTTCGTTCATGTCTGATCTCCACACACCTCTCCGAATACCCTCTACCCGGCTCCTCCCTAAGAATGGGTTCTAGGGGAGGCAGTCTCTCTTCTCCCTCCATAATCTCCCCATCTTAATCTTCCCTTTGACTTATCAGATTAGGTTTCCCCCATTTCCTTGGTTGTCAATGGCTTCCCTCTCCTCCAATGACGTTATTTTGGATTGGCCCTCAAGCAACTTCTTCAACATTTCCTCAAGGATGAAAATTTCCCATCCATCTTCTCGTGGAAAGCTGAGATTTGACTTTAAAAATATGAAAAATTGAGTTTGGAGATCTGAAGTTTCAGATTTCAATTGTTTGATCTTCCCTTCCAACACCTCTACCTTTTTTTCCTGCCATAAGTACCTAGATTTAGGCTCCAATAGCAAAAAAAAAAACAACTTTGATACAAATTTGGCCTCTAAAAAGCAAAAAAAAAGTATGATCGGAGAGGAAACACAACAATAATCAGTGAGGAAGACTTCTATCCTCAGTAAGGAGACATAAAAGACAGGGTGTAATGCTGATGTGGGTTGTAACCACAATTGATAGGCTATTGCTCCAATGCGCTCAAAGACCTCATAAGGACCAAAATTTCATGGAGATAAGTTTTCATTCTTCCTCCTTGCTAGTATTTTTTGTCTGTAGGGTCTCAATTTTAAGTAAAAAATCTCTCCTGGCAGAAGTTTACTTCTCTTCTGTGCTAATTAGCCTTCCTTTTTATGATCTGTTGGGCTCTCAACAAATGTCCCTTGAGCTCAAATAATATATTGTCCCTCTCTTCTAAGTACTACTCTACATCATATTCTAGTGTAGTGTAGATCTCTCCTATAGAGAATCCTAAACGGATCAGTCTTTGTTGTTGAATGGTATGAAGTGTTGTACCAATACACAACCCACACAATCAACCTTTCCCACTTCTTCGACGTGTATGATGCGAAGCATCTAAAATAGGTTTCTACGCTTCTTTTGACCACCTCTATCTGGCCATTTGTCTGGAGTTGGTAGGCTATATTTTTCTTCATGACTATCCCATGTAAACGAAATAACTCTTTTCAAAAGTAGCTAAGGAACATCTTGTCCTTATCTGACACAATAGCTTCAGGGAATCCATGCAAGCGCACCACTTGTATGAAAATAGTAGCCACAGTAACCGCGATATAAGGGTGCTTTAGAGGGATGAAATGGGCATATGCGCTTAGGCGATCCACTACTACTAATATCACTGAGAACCCCTCTAATTGTGGTAACCCCTCGATGAAATCCATCTTCATCTCCTCCCATACCCTCACTGGTAGAGCTAGGGGTCATAGTAATATTGCCAATGTCATGGCCAAGTACTTGTAGCTTTGGTATACATCACATCAAACTATGCAGTCCTCTACATTGTGATGAATCCTCACCAATATAGTTCTGTAGATAATCGACTGTAGGTTTTCTGAACTTCGGAATGCCCTCCAATTGTACTTCCATGAAACTCCTGTAGCAGCTTGTGAATGTAATTTGATCCTCTTGGTAGAACAAATCTCCCTTGGTCTAGTAGTTGGACTCTCCTTAAAATGTAACCAGAGTGACTAATCGGGTCCGATGGCAATAAATAGGCACTGATCTTCTTCAATCCTTCAACCTATTCATTCTCTTGTTTTAAAGGTTCCCAATTTAGGCTCATAGGTATTGACAAGGTTGTCAACAGAGGCTCCTCCACTCTCCTAGATAGGGTGTTTGTTGACTTGATTTCTAGGCCAGGTCGATACTGTATTTTGAAATTATATTCCAACAACTTAGATAACCACCGCTGATGCTCTTCTGTGACCATCCCTTATTCCAATAAATATGTTAACATCTGTATGATACAAAAAATATGTATGTATACCTTTGTCGCTAAACCCACAAAATCTGCCCGAAATCCCGCTGAAAAAACACTGTTCAAACGGCGTCGTTCGCGTCTCCTCGCGGGAATCCTATGACAACTTGCCTCGATTGTCCGCATCTGTGGTATTTAAAAGGAGGCAAAATGAGAGCTTCAGCTCTCCTGGATCCCGATTCCTCTCCCACTGCCGAACTCTCTCCTTCGCACACCCCGACGCCTCCAAGCCGCAACAGCAAATCGACCGACCTTCTCATTTCTCTAAGCCAAATCCACAACCCAAACTCCACTCAGCTCCCTTCCTCCTCCCTCCATACCGCAAGCTTCCAAGCCCTCACCTTCACCTTCGTTTGGTCCACACAGAGAGAGGAGAAGGCCGACCTCTTAACGCCCTAGACCCGCCGACTCCACCTCCTCCAACTGCTCTTCCTCAATTAAATAATAATAGTTATGATTAGTTATAATTAAATTTAATTATAATTAATCCTTTTTTAATTAATTTTAAAAAGAAAAAGAGAAAATGTTCTCCTCCCTTGTGCCTCGACATACGTGCCAACGCCACCGACAACCCCGCTAAGGTATAAATTTTCCTAAACTCATATTCTCGCTCTCGAAGTTTTCGGCGGACCGGAAAACCGCCCATACAAGCCTTTATTGCGCGTGGTGGGATGGGACACCGGTGCGGCGCCTACAACGAGGCGGGTAATCACCTTAAACACAAAAGCCCTTTCTCGGAGTTCGTGGCGCACCGGAAAACCGCCTATACACGCCTTTATTGCTCTTGGTGGGATGGGACCCCGATGCGACGCCTACGACGAGGCGGGTAATCACCTAAAAGCCCCATTTCAAAGTTCGTGGCGCACCGAAAAACGACCCATACAAGCCTTTATTGTGCGTGGTGGGATAGGACCCCGGTGTGGCACCTATGGCAATGTGAGGTCACTCATAAGTATACTCGAGCGAGGGGAAAGCAAACTATCTTT